TCCCCGAGAACAACCAGCAGGGCTACGAGGCTGGCTCGGTGGCACTGCACGTGGAAAAGCTTCCCAACGAGTGAGTACCTGCCCCAGACCTGCTCCTGCAGCCCTGCTCAATCCCAGGGGCATGGAGGGGTTCTGATCCTCTTTAACTCGGCAGCAGCTGGGTCACAGCCCCCTGCCAGGGAGGGCTTGAGGCCCGTGGCCATGGCCTGGCACTGCTCTTGCTTGGGTTTGCCTTGTCCAGCTGGAAGGTCTTTGCTCAAGGCCCCCTGCCAGGGAGGGCTTGAGGCCCGTGGCCATGGCCTGGCACTGCTCTTGGGTTTGCCTTGTCCAGCTGGAAGCTCTTTGCTCAAACCCTCTGCAGAGCTTTTATCTGGTGCCTCGTTGTGTTTTCCATCTGGTTTCTCATCCTGTTTCTCTCCTTATCTCTCACCCCATGTCCAGGCCAAATCGTTTGCTGATCCTCCATGGCTTTTTGGATGAAAATGTGCACTTTTTTCACACCAACTTCCTGGTATCGCAGCTAATCCGGGCTGGAAAACCTTACCAGCTGCAGGTAGGAGGGACAGGAGTGGGGAGGGAAGGTCCCATCAGTCTGGAGAAAGTTCCCTGCTGTGTGTTCTGGGGATGGGAGGGGAGGGAGGCAGATCCCCCACATCCTGTTGTGCTGGGGCCGCCTGGCTGCACTGAGGAGGCCGGGAGGTGGCACTGTGGCTGTTCCATGGCTGGCAGCTGTGGCATGTGCAGGCAGGGCTGCTGCCCTGGGGCCTGGAACTTTCCTCCTCCACGAGCTGTTGTGTCCCTCTTGGCAGGGGTGGCTGCGGTGAGCAGGGGGTGCTCCAGACCTTCCCTGGCACTTCTTTGTCCTGATGGAGACTGGGTGGGAAGGGAGCAGGGCTGAGGGGAGGGAGTTCTGTGCCTGCTGAGTGACCAATGCCCCCTGTCTGCCCTGGCACAGATCTACCCCAACGAGAGACACAGTATTCGGTGCCCTGAGTCAGGAGAGCACTACGAAATCACGCTGCTGCACTTTCTACAAGAATACCTCTGAGAGCACGAGCCTCTGCAGACTGGACACTGACAGCTCACCTGCCCCGTGCCCTCCCGCTCCCCGGCAGCGTCCAGCCCAGAGCACAGGGGGCTGAGTGCCCACGTCGGGCTGGGGATACCCCCAGGCCAGGGGGAAAAGCTGGAGGGCGCCTTCCCTTTGGACAGTGCCACCTTCTCTCACTTTCCAAGCTGGAGGTCTGCCCCTGCTCGGCTGCTCGTCCTCCTCCTCTCCTCCAGCCTGGCTGTTCAATGCTTTTTTTTGCTGCTACTCCCTCTCTCCTGGGAATCAATGGACAGTGGTCTGTGTCCCGAGGCTGAGGTTTGTGTCCATCTCTCTCTCCCCAATCCTTTTCCTCTTCCACTGCACCTGTGCAGTTCCCAAACTCTTCCCTGCAAGAGCTCAGTGCCTGTGTTGGAAACGGAAGAGCGGAATCAGAAGCTGCCTTAAGCCAGGAGTGCGAGGGAAGAGAACTACCTACTGCTCACCTGGGGATGTGCTCTGTGTCCTGGCCCTGCTGCCACACTGGAGCCCTGGGAGCTGAAGAGAGCTCTACAGAAGCATGCAACTAGTCTTTTCTTTTTTTATATATATCTATTTTCAAGTTTAAATTTGCAGAGCAGATGGAGGAAGTGGCTGGGGCCGGCAGCGGCGCCCTCTGATCCTTCCTCTCATGGCCGCTCTCACAGAGTTGTGCCAACAGGTAGCACTGGCAGCTGGCTACAGCCAGAGCCTCTCTCCAGAGCTCACAGCAGCATTTGGGTTTTTGCAACACAAGATGGATGGTATTTATGCAAATCCTCCCTCCCTCCGTTCTCTGTGCCGCCTCCCGACCCCCGTTGTCCTTCCCTGAGCTTTCCAATGTGCACTGAAATCGGCTGTGCTTCAGTTCTCTGCGGGTCAGTGACTGGTCCCCCTGCCCGTGTACTCAGCAATGCTCTCTCCTGGTTTTTATTGACCTGGGCAACGGGAACTGCAGTTCTGGGGAGGGGGATTGAGCAATCACACCTCAGGGGAGCACGTCCCCCCCTCAAGCCAAGGGTTCTGCCAGGGGCAAAACGAAAACACAAACAAAACCCACCCAAATGAACCACGTTGACTTGCCCTGGAGTATTTTAAGTGCGTATTATGAAAAGAAAATATTTTTATGGATTCTTATTCTTTTATAATTATGAGTGTAAGATGTAGCGACTCATTAAAATATTGGAAAGAGACGTGGTGGCTGCTTTGGGGGGCAGGAGGAAGCAGCAGCTGCTGCCACAGCCAGAGCAGCTCTGCTGAAAGCCAAGTGCTCTGTTCTTTCTGTGCCGAGCAGTGGAGAGAATATTAAATCCCTGATGTTCCTCGGGGGAAGCACGATCCAAGCAACGGAGGCTTGGGAATCCTGGGCTGTGTGCTGGGCTCGGCGTGACCTTGAGCGAGTCAGCAGCAGCCTGGGGTGGGCACCTCCCTCCCTCTCTCCCGCCTTCCCTCCCTCCTTCCCTCCCTCCCTCCTTCCCTCCCTCCCTCCTCCCTCGGTGGGACTGGGGGTGCAGCTGCTCTGCTCCCACTCTGGGACACACAGCCTGCCTCTGCTCGCCCTCCCAGCCCAAAGCTCCCAAACCCGGCCTTGCTTTGCCTTCCTCCGTGGGAGCTGCTGTTAATTAACCCGCTCTTAATGCCCCGAGGCTGCTGCTGGGGGCTTGTTCTAAATGCAGAGCTTCTTCCAGATGGAGCATTTGGGTTCCTGGGGATGGCTGGGAGCAGATTTCCCCCCACCTCTTCTTGTCCAAATAATTGTCCCAATATTGCAGATGTGGCTTAGGTGCTACGAAGCACCTCAGGTGTGAGTTTTGAGGTCAGAGGGGGTGGAAGGAGGGACTGGGCTGGAGGAAGTTGCACCTCTGAGATGTGTCTATAAAAGCACCCTGCAGCCAGCAAAGCCTCACCCTCTGTTCCTCACAGCTGGCTGGGTGCTGCTGCGTGGTAAGAAGCTTTATTTTTGCAGAGTTTGTTGCTGTGCTTCCCTAATTTAATTTTTAGGCTTAATTTAAACTGCTTTTTTCTGTCCCCGAAAAGCTGAGTGTTCCTTAAAATGTCTTAAGACGCTCTTGTCTGGAAGAGTTTGCAGATCTGTTGCCTCCTCTGATCCCCCAGCTTGCTGCAGGATTTTTTGGCACCCTCGAAAGGGGTTGGTCATCTTTTGGGGATTGAGAATCCCGAGAGGAATGAGCTGGGAAATGTCGCGGAGCTGTTCCATATGGAGCAGGCTCTGTCGGGATTCAAACACAAATGATGTGGGAGGTCCCAGCCCGGTCCCGCGGGAAGGGTGGTGGCAGCGGGGTGGCTCTGGGTGGAGGATTTGCAGCTGGGGGATGAGGCTGGCTTAATTTCCTGAGTGAGTGGTAATGACAGAGGAATCAGCAGGTGCTGGGGAAACCAGGCAAAAACCACTCTTCCTCGAGAATTTGGGACCTGAGAGTGGCTTGGGAGGCATTTCTCTCCCAAAACCCACCCTGTGGGGCTTTATTTTTAGGTGGATGGTGTGGAGGGAGAACAGATGTTCTTGAGGACTTATTTTTAAAACAAAATCACTCCTCAGGCTATAAAATTAGCTCAGAAAAGTCACTCCTTGCCCTGAAAGATGCTCGAATGGAAAACTTCCCGGCATCTCCATTCCCAGAGTGGGTGGGATAAAGGTGCAGCCACAGCCCCGGCTCTGGGAGAGCCACGTCAGTGGAAACTCGGGGTGCTTGGGGGTCTCGGGCACTTGATCTCTGTCCTGGGCCGTGCAGGCTGCACCCCCAGAACAGCTGGAGCAGCTCAGAAATGCCAGGGTCCCCCAGAGGAGGAGTGGGGTGTCCAAGGAAGGCACAGGGCTGGGCATGTGTCTGTGCTGGCCAAACCAAAGGCTGTAAACTGATCTTGGAGAATCCTCTCGGAGGGATTTTGGTGAAATCACAGGCATGCCAGCTCCGTGCTGGGACACAGGGAAAGCTGCAGGCTTTCACCCCCAGAACAGCTGGAGCAGCTCAGAAATGCCAGGGTCCCCCAGAGGAGGAGTGGGGTGTCCAAGGAAGGCACAGGGCTGGGCATGTGTCTGTGCTGGCCAAACCAAAGGCTGTAAACTGATCTTGGAGAATCCTCTCAGAGGGATTTTGGTGAAATCACAGGCATGCCAGCTCCGTGCTGGGACACAGGGAAAGCTGCAGGCATGGCCTCTGCACAGAAACCTCCTGTCCCTGGTCCCCCTCCAGCCCCTCTCGGAGCTGGCACAGATCTCTGTGCCTCCCCCTCTGCTCTGCTCCAGGATTTTCCTGCTGCCAGCCCCTGGCTGGGTGAGCCCGGGATGGGGCAGAGCCTGCTGCTGGCACTGCCCCGGGGCCGCTCTCCCTCTCTCAGGACACCTCCGGCTGCCGGTACAGCTCCCGGTACAGGGCACGGCTGCCACCCGCTCCGGCTTCAGGACGGTGTCCCGGTGACATAAGCTAATTTAACAGCATCTGGTCCCACTGTTTTTTTTTCTCTGTAACCTTAAACAAAAATAGGTATCTTTTTATTCATAACACCGGGGCAGCGAGGCGGCCCTGACGCGGGCCCTGTGTCGGTGGTAGTGGATGCCCGCAGCCACAAGTTCCAGTGGGAATTGAAGCCCATCTTGGTCCCAGACACCTTTTCCAGGCTGCTCCAAGCTCCCTCTCACCACGCTCGGCATTCTCCAGCCCTTCCCTCCCAGTTCGGCCACGCTGCTGGCCTCTGTCCCCGAGGTCCCCGCAGCCGCTCAACCCCATGGGCGCTTGTCCCAGTGGCACCTTCTTATCCTCCTGCTCCCTTTGTCCCCTGACCGCAGGGCCTCTTGTGCCGTGACCACCCGTGTCCCTCTGTCCTGCTGTCCCTTGTCCTTGCTGTGCCCGTGTCCCCCTGTCCCCCCGCGGTCCCCGCCGCTTTGGCCCGCCCGGGCTCTGCCCACACCCAACATGGCCGCCGTGCCGCCGCCGCCGCGCTGACCCCTGCCGGCCGCCATAGCCGGCGCTTCCTCTCCAAGATGGCGGCGCCCAGCGGGAGGAGCGGCCGGCGCTCGTGGGCCGCGCTGGTGCCCGCAGCTCTGCTGTGCCTGGCGGCCCGCGCGGCCGCGGAACCGGGCACGGCCCCGGGCGCGGCCCCGAGCACGGCCGAGTTCGACGTGCGGCCCGGCGGGGAGGTTCACTCCTTCTCCCGGAGCCTGGTGAGCGGTCCGGAGGGAGGGAGCGGGAGCGGAGAGGGTACGCGCCCCTCGCTGATTGGCTGCGCGGCACGTCACTCATATCGCCCGCTATGGGGATTGGCTGGGCGCGAGGGAGGGCGGGGCGAGTGGGTGGCGGGGGTCCCCAGGGAGAGAGGGGCCCCCAAAGGGGGGCTACAAGGGCAGGGGGACCCCAGGGTGAGCGGGGGTCTGCAAGAGAAATGGGGTCCCAAACGGAGCTACAAGGGCAGGGGACCCCAGGGTGAGCGGGGGTCTGCAAGAGAAATGGGGTCCCAAACGGGGCTACAAGGGCAGGGGACCCCAGGGAGAACGGGGATACTCAAGGAAGGAGGGAGCCTCCGCAGAGAAGGGTGTCCTCGAGGGGAAGGAGCCCCAGTGGGGTCCTCCAGCAGAAGGGGGTCCCCAAGGTGGGACAGTTTCTGCAGCGAGGAGACCCCCAGGGATGGGGACCCTCCGGGGATAACGGCCCCCAGGGGAAGGGGGGCACCCCAAGAGCAGGGAGAGGGGAAGGGGGTCGCAGAGAAAGAAGGGTCCTCGTGGGAGGGGGCTCAGCAAGGGAAGGGCCCCAGTGCAGAAGGGGCCGGGGGTCCCTGGGCACCCCAGGACACGAGTCCTCCCCCCAGCACTGCAGGCAGGGCCGGGGGAGGTTGAGGCTGGATATGGGGGGACATTCTCCATGGAAAGGGAGCCCGGGCACCGGCGCGGTGGCATGGCAGAGCCCCCGTCCCTGGGGGGATTGGATTGAAGGCCGTGTGGCACCTGGGGACAGCGTGGCCTTGGCAGTGCTGGGGCACTCGCTCTGGGGGGGCATTCCCAGGCTCAGCCCTTCTGGGCCCTGTGGGAGAAGAGCTGGTGTACAGTGAGCTGCTCTTGCTCTCTCACAGGGGGATCTCGGCTGCACCTTCACCTACTCGGCCCAGGGCGGCACCAACGAGGTGAGCTGGGCAGTCCTGCTGCAGCCAGCTCCTCTTCCTCAGCTCCTCTTCCTCAGCTCCTCTTCCTCGCCTGGGAGGGAGAAAGGCTGGGAGCTCTTGTGTGAGAGCACAGCCCCGAGGCAGGGAGCAGCAGGGGCTGCCAGCGACTGCTGGGGGTGCTGGGGGGTTTGGGAGCTCCTGCTCCTCTGGGGTGATTTTGGAGCTCCTGCTCCTTTGGGGTGGTTTGGGAGCTCCTGCTCCTCCGTGGGGTTTGGGAGCTCCTGCTCTGGGGTGATTTTGGAGTTCCTGCTCCTCCTGGGTGATTTGGGAGCTCCTGCTCCTCTGGGGTGATTTTGGAGCTCCTGCTCCTGTTGGGTGATTTTGGAGTTCCTGCTCCTCTTGGGTGATTTTGGAGCTCCTGCTCTGGGGTGATTTTGGAGCTCCTGCTCCTCTGGGGTGATTTTGGAGCTCCTGCTCCTCGGGGGGGTTTGGGAGCTCCTGCTCTCGGGTGATTTTGGAGCTCCTGCTCCTCGGGGGGGTTTGGGAGCTCCTGCTCTCGGGTGATTTTGGAGCTCCTGCTCCTCGGGGGGGTTTGGGAGCTCCTGCTCCTCCGGGAGGGGGGTCTGGCCTGGCAGGGCTCTCCCCTGACCCCGCTCTCCCCGTGCAGCAGTGGCAGATGACGGTCGGAGTGAGCGAGGACAACGGGCTCTTCTCCTGCTCCATCTGGAGGTGTGTCCTGAGCACAGCCACCTCGGGGTGCCCGTGGGGCAGGGACAAGGACCCTGCAAGGACTTACACCTGCCCAGGGAGGGTTTTCCTCTCCCAGGGATGCTCCAAATTCCCTGTTCCCCTCTCCCCTGCTCTGCACAAAAGCTACAAAAGATCCAGAGGTGGCTGTGGGGGGAGGGAGGGAGCCAGGAATCCTTCACTCCCCTGCTCCTCCTCCTCTGCACCTCTGTGCCGGTGACAAAGGCTCTGCTTTCTTCTTTCAGGCCCCAGGGGAAGTCTTATCTCTTCTTTACCCAGTTTAAAGCTGAAGTGAAAGGAGCCAAGATAGAGAATGCCATGGCTTATGTAAGTCCCAGCTGATCCCGGGGAAGCAGAGTGTGGGAGGCTGCTATAAAACATGAATTAGACATGGAAAACATTTATTAGACATCTGTGCCATTAAATGTGCTCCACCACGTCCCTAATTAGAGGCTGGTGGCAGGCAGGAGAGGGGCTGCAGGTGGGCAGCCTGCCCCATTGTGTTCCTGCCCTCTCACTCCCAGGGCTTTGCTGGGAGGGGGCTCCAAAGGCACCAGGGCACAAAGGGACTCGACAAATTGCATGTGACAAAGCAAATGAAAGCTCTGCTGGTGTTTTTGTCTGCCTCATTCTTCCATTTCCCACTTTCCAGGGGTGAGGCTTTCACTCCCCCCAAGGACACGAGTCCGTGGTTTAGCAGGAAATAGGAAAACAGACAGAGATTTTCCTCCAGATTTCCTTTGTGCCCTTCATTCTTTCACTGCACGGAAATCTCAGAGCCGTTCATTTTCAGCTGCTGGTTGGTTTGAATTCTGTGGCCTGCTGGATTGCCTCAGCCTCTCACCCCTCCTTCCTTCCTTCCTTCCTGTCTCAGTCTCAGGCTGCTGCGGGTGCCCTGAGCGACGTCCCCTTGAAGCAGGAGGAGTTTGGGGTCACTGAAACAGCAGGTGTGTGCCCGAGGGGGCTGGCAGAGAGGGGCTGGGCTGGGGGACAGGCCAGGCACCCTCAAACCCTGCTGGCAGGGCTCTCAATGCCCCACTGGCAGCTGGGTTCTGCCCCCATCCCAGTTAAATCCCGGGGTAAGGAGGGGTTCCCCCCTGGCTCCCCCCTGGTTCCCCCAGCCTGGCACGTGCAGGAGTGGGAAGAGCAGTGCCCAGCGCCCTGGGAGGACCCAGCAGGGCTGTTTGGCTCCTGCTTTTCCAGCTGCTGATCCTGGGCTTCTCTCTCTCTCTCTCTGCAGTGTCTCACAGGGAAGGCAAGTTCCGTTTCGAGCTGTCCAAGCTCGTGATTGTGGCAAAACCCCCCCGAGACGAGCTGTGAGGCCAGGCCAGCCCTGCCAGGGGGCACGGCCACACCAGCACGGCAGGGAAGGCATTTCCTGCTCACCTGCAGGGTCGTTCTTTTGGTTGGCCAAACCTTTTGTGTTTTCCATACTGAGATGTGCTGGGGACCCACACGAGTGGGGCTTGGAGGGCTGGGGACAGGTTTGTTCTGCCTCGTGTCAGAGTGACCCCCTGCTCCTCCTGTGGCCCTTCCTGCCTGGCTGAGCAGGGCACAGCTCCCTGGAAAGGGGCTCCTTATCTGCCTGCCTGGGAAGAGCAGGGCAGGGAGATAAGTGGCTGCTCTTAAGCAGGGCTTGCTGAAGGGGAGTTGTTAACTCTGTACTCTCTGGAGGGGAGATGGGATTTCTCTCTCCACCAGCGTGACAGGAGGAAATAATTAATTTAGGGGGAGGGAGGGAGGGGGTTGGCCAAAGCTCTGATTCCATGGTGAGTGTTGGGGCTGGGGGAAGGCAGAGCAGCTTATTCTGACATAATCAGGAGTCAATCCAGGCAGCAGTTCCACGTGTCAGCACAACCACAGGACTATTTTATACCTACAGAAAAGTGATTCTTTTCTTATCCAGAGTAATAACAGGGAATGTGCAATTCCTTTCCTGTGTAAATACAGCACCAATAAAGAAATAAAGCATCGTGCTCTGGCCTGAAACTGCTCTGCTCTGCCCCTCCTCCCCTCTCCAGCTGTGTGGACCTTTGTTGCTGCTTGGCCAGGAGGAGCTGAGGTGTCCCAGGGGAATTTGGGGGCTGCAGAGGGTTTAGGGGGGTCTTGCAGCTGACACAGACACACACCTTGGGAACAGCAAAGAATTTCCGGCTGGACATTGCTCAGCCCCATCCCACCACCCCTGCCTGGGATTCCCAGCTCTGGTTCCTGACAGGGACAGGATTTGTTCTCAAGGCCACTGGCCCCTGCCCTCCTGGGGCTCCTGCTGTTCTCCACCCCCTTGTGAATGGGCTGTGCCCCACCCCAGGCTGTGTCACACCATTACCAGTGGCAGCTACAGCCAGGCCTGTGAAGTGACAGGGACAGGGCCTTTGTGCCTTTCATTTAATCTTCTGAGGCTGAGAGTTATCAGTGCCAGGGGTGGGAAGGGAGCAGGAGGGGAGCCCCTGTCTGGAGACACCCAGGGAGCAGGAGGCACCAGAAGGTCACAGAGATAAGGCCAGTGGAGATTGTGTGGTGTCTTGGGTGCTAAAAGGGCAATTTCCAGTGCTCAGAGCTGAGCTCAGAGTGACCTGAGCATCCCCTCTGCTCCGGGCTGTGTCTGCCTGCAGAGCCACCCCTGCTGCCAGGCTCTCCTGCTGCCAGGGCTCTCTTTTGGGCCCCTCCTGGGCCCTGAGGGGATGTGGGGGTGCAGAGGAGCACGTGTGGGTGTCTGCTGGGAGCGAGATCTCACCAAATCACGGAGTGGTTGGGGTTTGGAGAGGCTTTCAAGCTCATCCAGTCCCACCCTTGCCGTGGGCAGGGACACCTCCCAGTGTCCCAGGCTGCTCCAAGCCCTGTCCAGCCTGGCCCTGGGCACTGCCAGGCATGGAGCACCCTGTGCCAGGGCCTCCCCACCTCCCAGGGAGGAGCTCCTTCCCCACATCCCAGCTGACCTCTGGGAGGCCAGTCCCTTTGTCTTTGTCCGTGCAAATCCAGGAGCTGCTGGGCCACTGAGCAGGGACAGCATGACCAGCAGCAGTGCCAGGGGACAGAGAGCACAATCCCCAGGTCACAGAGAGCCACCAGCACCTGGGGGCAAAGCCAGCTGTCCCCAGGGCTCATTCTGTCACTGTCACCACTGACACCTCACGGAGCTCCCAGGCCACACAGTGAGTTTATTTAAATAACTCATCAGGGCTACAGAGTTTGCTAAAAATGAGTATCACTCAGTCAAGGGCGTGGAAAAGGGATGAAATCCCAGGGGAGCTTTGGATGACCACCAAAGCTGCCAGGTGGCACCTCCACTGGAGGCTGGTGGGCAGTTGGGTGGCTCCAGGGATCCAGGGATGGAGCAGCTCCCCCAGCTCCCTCCCAGCCCTCCCCCAGGTGAGGAGGGATCCTCCTGGCCTCAGGGACTTGTCTTTGAGGACACCTAAGCCCAGGCAGAAGCACCTTCCTGCCTGAGGCAGCACAAGTCCAGACCATGATTTGCTCCCTCCACGTTGTGGAGCTGCTGGAAGAAAACCACAGCATCCCACAGCCCTCCAGTGGGGGGCTCTCAGAACTGCCCCCCAACACCGTCCCACCTGCTCAGAGACACCTCAGAGGTGCTTCACACCGCGAGTCTTTGGTTCAGTTTCCCCACAGAGGGTTACGACAGAGTTCAAGGCACAGAGCCCAAATCCTTGGACTCTGAGCTGAAGGCACTTGGTGGGCAAGGAAACCAAACTGTACAGCAGGGTCCCAGGATGCCCTGGAGAGGCTCAGCCCAGCGCAGGGAGGGGTTTGCAGACCCTGGGCGAGGGGGAGGCAAAGTCAAGAGGTTCATTCTCTCGGAGAAACAAGAACACAAGCGAGCACTGCAGAGGAGGAGGAGGAGGAGGAGGAGGAGGAGGGGACGGCCAGCCCGGCCGAGGCCAAAGCCAACATCGCATCTCGGCCTCGCGGGGGGCAGAGCCCCGCTGCCAGCAGCCCCCTCAGATGCTGTCCTCCTCCAGCATCTTGTTGACCCCCTCGCAGATCCTCTTGAGGTGGGTGCGGTAGGGCTCGGCCGGGCCGTAGAGCGCCGACAGGAACTCGTAGTCCGCGAAGTGGTTGAAGACGTGGTTGATGCGCGAGTGCGACTTGGCCGTCAGGTGCCCGTTGACCGCCTGGTGCAGCAGGTCCCGGCACTCGGTCAGCACGCCGGACATGACCCTGCGGTCGAAGGTGAAGTCTATCTGGTGGAAGCTGACGGCCGTCATGGCCAAGGTGTGAACCTTCTTGCGGAAGCGCTCCATGAGCAGCAGCTCCTCGGCGCTGAACTGCCCGTTGCGGTAGAGAACGCCCAGCTTCATCACGATCTTGATGAGGTTCTTGATGATCTTCTGGGCCTCTTTGCGGTTGTGGGTGTACTCCTTGGTGGCCCGGTACAGCTCGTCCAGGATCTCGCTGCTGGTGTCATCAATGAAGGCGTTGGCGATGGTCTTGGTGGCCATTTTGCTCAGGAGCTTCTTCTGGGCCTGCAGGGCCAAGTTCTTGGTGCTGAAGGTGTCCATCTCTGCGGGGCAAGAGGCACACACGGGTCAGTCCCTGCTCTGCAGCCATGCCCACCTCACTGGTGTCCCGGTCCACGGCAGGGGGTGGAGCTGGACGAGCTTTAAGGTCCCTTCCCACCCAAACCATTCCGTGATTCTGCGATTCCTCACCTCCCCACGCAGGTTTTTGGCAGGAGAAAGAGCATCTCCAGGCAATGGGGGACTGAGGGAGCTCCTGGCTGCCAGGGCAGGTGAGGGCTGAGCTCCCCCCAGGTTTGGTGGGTGGGATCATTACAGGGTGTTCCCTCCTTCCTTCTCCCAAACTGCGGAGCGGCTGCAGCGAGCGAGGCGTCCCTACCTGCGCGCCCCTCCATCCCGGCGTCCCTCCCGGGACCGACGCCTCCCTCCTCCTGCTGCACGAAGGGCTCTTGCCCCATCGTTTGAACATTTTTCCTTCCTTAAAACCTGACTCATTTCCTGCAGGGTGAGCTGGGGACAGCCCAGGTGGCAGCTGAGTCAGCCCCGCTGCCATGTGCCCCGTGCGCGGCGGTGCCGGCCGGGCCGGGGCGGCACAGCCGGTTTGCAGCGCCCGGCAGTGACAGGGGAGCCCTTTTCCCTGGCACCGCTCGCCCTGGAACACCCACACGAGCTCGGGCTTGTTGTGCTGCTGCCCCAGCCTCCTCCGGAGCCGGCAGTGCAGGAGGGGAATAATTCACCCAGACAGGAAGATCACCTAGAGCCCCACTCCCACATCCCGGCGGGGCCAAATCCATCACCTCGGGCAGAGCACGGCTTTAAACTGCTGTGAACGATCGAAAACCCTGGAGACGCGTCTTGGCCTGGGAAACCGCAGAGCTACAAATCACAGGGAGGGGAGAACAGCAGGAAAACAACCGGGATGGATGGGCAGAGCTGGGAGCTGCTTCTGCAACAGCCTGCACATAGCACGGACAGCCTGGCAGAGCAGGAGGGGATGGGATCAGCCTAAAAATACATCCCCAGGGAGGGGAGAGGAGATGTTTCAGCTGAAGGATGCTGCTGGTGTGAGGATGGATGGGGATAAATTGCTCATGGGTAGGGAGCAGGTTTAGATTTGATGTTAAGAAGGAATTCTTCCCTCAGAGGGAGCTGAGGCCCTGGCACAGGGTGCCCAGAGCAGCTGTGGCTGTCCCTGGATCCTGGAAGTGCCCAAGGCCAGGCTGGAGCAGCCTGGGGTAGTGGAAGGTGCCCCTGCCCATGGGGCAGGGGTGGGATGAGATGAGCTTTTGGTCTTTTTCCAACCCAAACCACTCCACGACTCTGGGATTCTGTCACAGAACCGAGCCTGTCCCCATCACAGGCAGCTCTGTCATTCCCTCCTGGCCAAGCTGAACCCCTCAGGGGATCCCCAGTGCTGCTCCTTCCCCTCTGGACACACACCAGGCTCTCAGGAGCAAATCCCAGCTCCTCAGGGATGCCCTGCTGTGGCCAAGGCTCCCCAGGCAGTCTGGCAGGACGATGGTGCTGAGCCCCTGAGCACCTCCCAGCCAGCAGCTCCCAAACCCCAGGGCAGCCAAGGCTCCGTGGGGATGAGAATTCCAGGAGCAGTGACAGAGACATTGCCTGCGGGGTTATCTACAGCCCTCGGGAAAAACACGGAGGTTTGGAAGCATTTCCTACGGTGGGAAAACATTGATTCTTGTCAGCCTGAGCCTCAGGCTGAGGCTCTCACACTTAATAAGACAAAAATGACAGCGCAGAGCCTGGTGACAGCAGCTCCTGGGTCAGGAATTCCAATGGCTGCATCCAGGGGGTGCTGCCCGAGCCGAGCCTGGAGGGAGGGACGGGCAGGATGGGCAGAGGCAGCTCCATCTCCTCTCCCTTCACCCATGCCAGGCATCCTGTCCGGAAGGAGCTGGGCTTTGCTGTGGTGCTGACAGCCTGGAATTTCCCTCCCCGGGCTCGTGGGGTGCCCTGGGAACGGTGCCTGGATAAATGGGAATTCCCACACCCGAGCTCTGCCTTGGGTGACCACAGACACAAAGCGAGTGCAAACTCCACCTCCGGAGCACATGAAAAATAGGAAGTGCCAAGTCCTGCGAGCTGCCCACGGCTCCCAAATGCCAGCTGGAATAATGGATCAACCCTCTGCTCCCTGCAGCAAATAACACCCGGCTGCTCACTGCCCTCCCCTGCTCCGGGACCAGGAGCATCGCTCCAGGGGGAAACTGAGGCACCAAGCATTACTGGGGGGGAGGTCTGGGGACCCCAGAAGTGGTATAGACGGGTATGGAGATCCCAAAAATGCAACCAGCTCCCTCTCCAGTGCCCAGGGGTGGTTTTAGAGGCTGCCTCCTGCAAAGCCCAAGGAAAGCCAGGCTCACCTCCTGCTGGCTCCCCCGGCACCCTCCACACCACGCTCGGCCCGCCAGGACCTGCTGACTCAGCAGCAGCAGGAGATGTGGGGATTTCAGCAGAATGAGCCGTTTTCC